ATTTCTTCATTTAAACATTTCATATATACAGAGCCCATCTGGTGACACTGAATATTTAAAAATTAATGTGTGGTCACAAGATAATAACTCATGGCCATGAGATAGTTTTGAGCCAGTCTTTGTGGGAGATACTGACATTGTTGGAGTCATATTATAAATAAATGTGCTGTTTTTGTTTTTAACTGTTCAAATGTACTCATTATTATTATTATTATTATTATTATTATTATGTTTAATCCAAAGAGTATACCTCCATGGTTTAATCTAAACAGTTAATTTTGAACTTTCTAAGTGTGTCGGGAAACATTTTTACAGCTAAACTGACCATAACATAACTCCAACTCTTTCTACAGCAAAAGCACGAGGTGAGAGAGGAACCTTCGAGTGCTGAGCTTCAAAAAATTGTTCTTTGGACAAATATAAGTCCAGTCATCACCTCTGTCTTATAGCTGCAACATATAACACTAATTACTCCATGCCTAAACGAAATCAAATGAAATTAATTCAAACTTGTCCATGTAAACAATCAACAGTCTCTGCTTGGAAACGACAGCAATAACAAACTCATGGCCACACGTTAATATCTCGTGGCCACACGTTAGTATCTCGTGGCCACGCATTTGTTTTCTTTAATTCAGTGTCACTGCGTTGGCTCAGTTCACTGTGTTCCACTGTAAATCAAATATAGGTTTATGAGCTTTGCATATTATTCTGTTTATTTTTACATTTTACACAACGTCCCAAATTTTTTGGAATTGCGGTTGTACTTTAACTTGTTATGCAAACAAAAAATAATACGTTTTTTTTTGTGTCATAAGTTCTATTTAAATTAGATGTCACTAATAGTTTGTCTGTTTTTTACCTGTTTAAACAAACTGCAGTTGCTGTTCAGTGAATCTCTTAAGTAGCTTCTTTTGTTTACTGATAAAATATATATAAATATATTTTTCCATTTACTTGGGAGAAACATGATTTAATATTCCAGTAATTATGAATAATAATAATAACACTAAAACAGTTTTTTCCAGAATGTATTCTTGCTAGTCTTGGTCAGATGAGTCTCTCACATTTTTTTTTTTTTTCTGTTTTCCTTGGTCTGCTTCAGCTGCAGAAACAGCTCCGCTGGTCTGTCAGAAACACTTTAAACTCTGTGAGTCACTTTGTTCCAGCTGCTGTTCGTCACAAAGATGTCGTTCACAGGCAGCTACACTTTTCTCCGACATCATGAGCACCCATAATCAGATGTTTATATTCTGAATGTTGAACCTTTTTATTTTGGTTAACAGGAGAAAAATGATTTATGAGACTCAATAAAATGCAGTATTACAAAGCAGGAACTCTTCATTTTGGAGTTTTGTTTATGTGCTTTGAAAGCTGGGATTCTGGGAATTCACTTCAAAAACCTTTATTTTTTTCCTGTTTGAATTGTTTTTGTAAATTAAAAATGAACAAACTTACAGAGCTTTGAGTTTTAAATTAATTTATTAGCGCAAAGGTTGACTTTTTCCCAGTGGCTTTATTTGTACATTTATAGAACTGAAAGTTTAAACTAAACCTTTCTGTGAAGACAATGATATATTAAAAATTAAGATTTATTTAAAATTCTTCTGTTGAACTGTAAAACATGGACGGATAATCAGAAGTTACACAAAAAAAATATAGATTTTTTTTTTTTAAGAATGGAAAATATGGAAACAATTTTTAGGTAGTTTCAGAGATAAATTGTTAGTTTTTAAAAATGACTATTTTTGAATGATTTGCGTTAAAATGATTTAGACTTTCAAACCCCAAAACACATTACGGCAAAGGCTGGTTCACCCCAAAGATCCGGTGCCCCGGCACAAACAGAGCAATGTTGTATATGCTGTTAAGTGCCA